TGTACAGTATACCTAGATGAACGATAGACTTACTGTACTGGAAAGTAGCTGCCTTACAGGTTATCATCAATACTTGAAAACAACAACAGGATATACAGTTTTTATTACATGTGAATGATAATTGTATGTTTATATTATGTTTGGGGTTTTGATTGCTTGTATCGCATGATTGGGGTCCATGAGGGTTAGCAAGGCAAATTCCTCTACAACTAGGCCTTTCAGTGCTAAGATATATGATGATTGTTTAGGGTATTTTTCAGGAAAAAATAAAAGTCTTAGCATACAGGAAATACAGTACTATTTTTTTCACCTCTTTAAATAATTCAGTACAGTTTTAAGAAAATTTAATTAAACAGATTATTTTGACTTATTTAGATAATTCCATAATTTTTTTCAGCTCCATTCAACTAATTTATAACATGAAATAGTAGACAACAACAATGATTATTATTGATGTAGATTTTCTAACTTACAACTGAATTTTGACAAGGCCGATATAAATTCTTTCTATACAAATATGATGAATTTAGAAATAAAACTTTATGAATAGAAACAATGCTTATATATGGCAATTTTTTAAATTTGAATTAAAAATAAAAAACACAGAAGAATTATTTAATAAATATGCTTTTAAAAATTGTCATGCAAATTAAATATTACTGCTAATGTTGTAAACACTAGTAATATATATATATAAAAGGCTGGTAAATATTTATGTATAATGCAGGCGGTTTTGTTTTACTGGTGTAAGATGGAGGACACACAGACAAAATTTTGCCTTACACAAATTTATTAACATTTCTCTGATTATTTAAAAAAGTCTTATTTTGGCAACATTTTTGCAAACAATTTATTTTATTCAATTTTCCATGAAATGTTTTAGTGCAAAATATAAAATCTTTTATATTTTGTAAAATATTTGCCTTATCTTCAAACAACAGTTCATTAGTATATAAAAATGAATTCACACAAAATGAGATCTCATTAGAGATACAAAATTTAATTTATGCAATAAAATAGACATAATTAAAAGGGAAAAATTTCAACTACAGTAGTTGATAATATGAAAAAAAAAAATACAATTGAATGACCAAACAAGTTACCACTCGTCATTCATTAAAAGTCGATCAAGGGAAATAACTTTTGTTTATGCCAATTTTTAAAAAAATATTTTGTGCATGCCAACTTTTACCGTAAGTTCTCGAAAATAACACACACCCATAAATAATACGCACCCCAACAAATGATCCAAAAATTAAGAAATATATCTATCCCTATGTATAATACGCATCTATAAATTCTGTCAAAAAAAAAAAAAAAATTACGAAGACATTTGTCGACCTTGAAATTAAGAATTAAATCAAAACTATACGGCTAACTAAAATAATGTTAAAAATTACCATGCGGTTTTCCTAATAAATGTCAGTGAGCATGTTAAAGAGAGGTTTCAAGAAGTGTTGTCTCACGACAGCCATGGATGACTCTGAAGATGATATCCTTTGGCAAGAGAATGAAGAGGCCGAAGATAATTTTGAACAGGACGAAGAAGGACAATTTGTTTAATGACAATATTGATTCTATAAAAGTGGTGATGATGATAATGATGAAAATTAAAATTTCAATAAATTGTTAATTTAATATCCTCTTTTCTTCGAAATTGGCCTTTTTATAGATTTTTTATTTTTTCGCCAAATAAAAAATGCGGTTACCGATAAACAAATTTATTGACAAAATAAAAACGTTACAATTATATTGTTGGATTTAAAATGAAAATTGGGATAATAACATCTTTCTTATTTTAGAACAAGTACGTATTTAAAAATCAATAACGAAAAAAATATTTTTGCTTAAACCTATTTATAATACAAACCCCTACTAGCATCTGTAATTTAATTTACAGTAAAAAAAATGCGTATTATTTTGAGATGATCATCATAACACACATACATACATACTTAAACAAATTCAAATTATACAACAACAAGCATTCATTGGATAATAAATCAACACTACTGTGTAATGGACAATTTATAAATCGCAGCTATGCGACAATTTTATAATCGCTCTATTTTCATGGAGTTGATTTCATGCACTTTTGGGAGAATTGGATCCCAGAGGCTTTCTTAGGTCTCCCCAAAACTTGCTTGCTAATTGGTCAATAAACACACAAGTGGGCATTACAATCCACCCACGCACAATATATTTTTTCCAGCGCATGACCAAGTCAAGTTTCCTGCCAAGGTGCTGTGATCCTGTCGCGTGATTACATTATCTATAAATAGCAAACTCGAGTTTGCCTCTTTCTCTTTTTTCTCTCTTCTTCCTGCGAAGATGTGACCTTTAAGAATTATCGTCCCGACCATGCAGTCAGGCGTTAAATAATATTTCATGTATTCACGTACGTACAAACTCTTATGAACTTTTCCAACCTTCTCACTCACACCACCACTCACATGCTGAACATTCCTTATACACTCACATAATCTTTTTCCTTACACAGCAAAACTGTTGAAAACATTTATTACCAGAAACTCTCACAAACTTTCTTTCATTGAACTTTGAAATACAATAGTTAAAGAGAGACAACTCTTGTGTTTACTCAATGCATGCCTTTCTTTCACATCCTTGTTTGTACATCTTGTTAAATACAAATTTTATGTGTAATGATGTCTTTGGCTTATCCTTTTTCTTCACGTCAGTTTGGTTTTCTAATCTAATATGGTGAAGTCCGCCACAATTTTCGAGAAATTACAGTATTTAAAAATATATTAAAATATTGTGCATGCTGACTTTTTATATTGCCAACTACTGTGTAGCTGAAGCTTTTTTCTTGTCCCCTTTTTATGCCTGTTTTTATTGCATTAAATACAATAAGGAGATTTTTAAAATTTAGTTTTAATTATGTTTGACTTTCTTAATTATTAAACAGAAAGACAAAAGAGATGGATTTGTTTTTTAAATTTTAATTAAACATTTATTTACAAAAATTAGTATTTTTCTTTCTATTCCTGAATGTACCTGACTTGTAATTCCATTTGCCATGTTTCTGATTTTTAAAACTTGTTAAATACAATAAGCCAAAATTTTAGTAGTCACAAAAATTTAAGCCATAAACCTATTCGCTGATTTTATCTATGTCTGTATTCCAATAAAACTTATTCTTGATTTTACTTTTTTATTTTTTAAATTATATTTTTTTCTAAAAGATGCATAGCTATGATTTCAAAGAATTTATTGGCATTTATATTTTTATAGCTTAATATCTGAATGTTTGAGAAAACTTAAAAATGTTTATGCAGATTACCGTAATCCTTTGTACATAAATCACTATAAGAAGTATAAGATGCAGTTAAAAAAGCAGAAAAATCCCAGGTGAAAAAAAGCTTATTTTCCTGTATAAAATGCACCTGATTTTAGAGCAAAGAAAATGAGTAAAACTTATGAAAAAGAAAGAGAAAAAAAAATACTGGACATTTTGTTTACTTTTGTGATTCATAAGCATTAAAATGACACTTGGGGTATAAAACCACTATATCTTCAATACACATTGAGAAAATAAATCAAAATAAAATTGAATAATATTAACTTGTTTGTTTTATTTTTAATTATGAAAGATTTATTTCCATTCATTGCAATCTGCCATGAGATACAGAATATCTCTCTGATAAACAAATAAATCCAATTTGACCCGATTTTGTCAGTTTTGTATTCTTGAAAAATGGGATTGATTTCTAAATTAAGTATAAGACGCAGCAGACTTTTGGACACCATTTTGAATGAAAAACCTGCATCTTATACACAGGATTACGGTAATTTTTAAATATTTAATGAATGTGCAGTTTGAACAGTTAAAAAATAATGGTCAAGCTACAAGGAAACATACACAATGGTATTGAGATATTCATCTTTCTTAAATAGAAACTACATTTAAAGATGAAATGTGACTAACAAAAAGGAAAGCTGATTTCAATAAATCAGTACTTACAAATGGCATAAAAATATATAAAGCTATCCATTCATATATGTATTAATTCATTTTTGAAGTTATGCCTGCTTTTAAAGGAAACATATTTCACCACAACCAGACTTTAAATGAATACCTTGTTAATAGTAATATCAATGTCAATTTTTGTTTACATCTAAATACCTTGTGTCTTTATCTTTTTCTAATACAAAGCACTGAATTTTCTTCTGCTTTTTAATCAAATCAAATTTAAAACTTCAAAGAAAATAGCAATTTCTGTAAATTTACTTGTAAATATCACAATCTGCTTTGACATTCTTTCAAGACAATCAAGCATTAATAATATTGTATCGGCTTTGAAAATATATCACATTTTTTGGTACACAATTCATTCCTGCACATATATATCAAGTGAATTACATTAAAAGCAATGAAATGTAGTTTTAAACCAGACTACTATATATACATTCTTTGGCCCTGGAAGCTTAAAAATAGATGCTGACTGCCTGCAAAATCAGGCAATATACAATGTTAAGTTGCTGTTCTCATTAAAAATGAGTTTTCAGAAATCTCTTCCTATTGGCCATTCTAAATTCTTCCTTTCTTCTTGATAAATAATTGTAGTTGAAAATCAACATACATTAACTGAAAATTCAAATGTTCTCATTAAAAATGAGTTTTCAGAAATCTCTTCCTATTGGACATTCTAAATTCTTCCTTGAAATTCAACATACATTAATTGAAAATTCAAATGTTGACAGTTATCAGGACTTGGTAAGTAAATTTAAAATATTACCAGACGTTTAAGGGTTAAAAAAAAAAAAAAAAAATAACAGTTTTTCTGAATATTTTTAATTTTTCAGAAGATATTATTTAGAAAAAAAAACCTCAAATCTTTTATGATAAATTTGTCATTTTTACATTAAAAATTATCTCTTTTGTGGCTCCATTTGTGTATTCAGTTTGTGTTTCTTTTGAGATATGCAAAATGTTTGGAATATAATGATAAATTTCTTTTCTATTGACAATTTTCAAATCAGCAGTCATCAACATCTGTATCTGTGTAAGCATAAGTGACAGTTTCATCAAATCGAAGCGTGTGGCTCCTGTGAAGCCGTTTATGAGGAGAGGATTTGGACTGAGAAGAGGTGGATGCAAGATTGGATGACGATGAGGAGGTTGAAGAGGCAGAAGAAGACTGCTCGCCCCAGTTCCAGCCTCCAGCAGAGCCAGCACTCTGGATACTTTGGTAACATTCTTCACGATTTAATAAGGCACCAAAAATATAAGGCTGAATTTTAAAAGAAAAAAAAAAGAACAATTAGAAAATTGTAAACATTTACGAAATCAAGGCTAATGGGTTAACATTTTACCTTCTCTAAACAAAATTAAAAAAAAAAACTCCGTCAGAAAAAGCATGAAAATCATTTCCCTGCCTCCCAAAAAAACAAGCAAGTAGGCAATCAATGTTTGATTAACAAACAAAATACATGCTTAATTTGCATATATCCATTTATACAGTGTCTGCCCAAAAAAAGTATACACACTTCAGGAAAGGAAAAACTTGTATAGATATTGTAATACTAAATTTATTCAGGCATCACAAGATTAATAGAAGTTACCTTTGAACTCTACAATCACAAAAGAAACTCAAAATGGTGGCCTTTAGCTTCTAGACAGTAAGTACAACAAACTACTGCTTGGACAATGTTGGCCAAAGTGTTCAGTGGGATTGCAACACATGCATTTTCAATTTCTTGTCTAAGGCCCAACAATGTAGCCATTTTTTTTGCGATGCACAGCATTTTTCAGCATCCCCCATATGTAAGACTAGTTTTTTCCCTTCCTAAGGTGTGTATACATTTTTTTTGGCAGACTCCATATTTTCCTTGTTTTACTTTCTTATCCTGTGAAACAATCCATGTCAAAGTTTTCTTTATAATAAAACTTTATTTGTCTTATTATAAATTTTTTAGTGTGCACACATATTTGAGTTATTATCCTTGTTTTTCATAAACAATAAAATTAGCAACAACCAATCTAGATTGAGATGTTCTATTAAAAAAAAAACATTTGTACCTCTGTCAGGAATCGAACCTGTATCTTTTTTTTCCATCAGGGGAATAACTTCTATAGCTGAAATGTGCACTCCTACAAAATGGCAATGCCCCAGCACACTTGAGAGGCTTGAAGCACTACCTCAACCTGTCTACTATTCAGACCTTGCACCATCAGATTACCACCTTTGCCGAACCATGGCTCATTTCCTGCAGACAGAGGTTCAATGATGTGGATGAGGCTGAAAACAGATGCAGGGAGATTTTGCCTCTAAACCAGCCAAATATCATTTGGAAAGTATGAAGCAATCTCTTCTCCCTCAGCTATGGGTTAAGTAGTATAACTTGTATCTGAAAAAATCATTGTTATCTAAACAAGTTGATAATGCAATATTCACTTACAAAAAAAAAAAAAGAGAATTATTCTTACAGTCTAAAATCTTTTGGTTATAAATGACCCACAATGGGTTGATGAGCCATAAAAAAAAAACAAATAAATCAACCCATCCTGTTCAGTGGTACAGATTTGCTTGTCAGTTGCCTGACCACAACCAGTTTGGTATTTCTCCAAGGGTTAATACTCTGCATGTATCTGTTCATGAGCCAGAGCAATCAAGGAGCATCATGGCCAGGTGTTGATTTTATTTTTTAAAGTTTGAAGGATTAGGTAGCTAAGATGACCTGTGGGTCACATCTAGATACTTGGGAACACCTTGAATCGAAGACCATCTGAGTGGACGAGGTTACTCACCTTACTGATATTTTCTAACTAGGCTCCACCTGCAAGGCAACAAACTATTTTTTATCCAAACCTGTTATCATTTGGCTGTGAGGCATGTGTCTGGTATACTCTTATCAGACTTGGTGTCATAATGAGTATATTGGGCATCATTTTGTTAGTGTGCTGCTCTCTTACTAAATAAAAGTAATAAACAATCAGTAGGTTAACATGAAGATCACTTCACCAAATTCTTTAGAGAAAATGATCTCCCAAAAGGACTGATGTTTGGAAAGAGCCAAGAAATGACAAAAAAATGAGTTGTATAAGAAAAAAGTTACAATCTGGCAATTAAAAAGGAACATTTGAACTATGTGATTTTATGTATAATTTGTAAAGTTGAAGACAAATCTGGTATCCCAGAAATAATTTTGTAATCTCCAATAAACCTCAATGACCCATCCAATTGCTGCTCAATTATTGGGTTGGAACAAAAGTTCATAATTTTTTTTAAGTGAATTTCAAAGACAATATTTAAATATTTGTATCTGTCTATATTTCTGAGATGAGGTATTATGTACACTATTTACATTATTTGGACAATTGTCCTCATTTTTTTTTTGCCATATTTATCACAATGTTTTGGCCGTTGTACACTCCGGCCTTCTTCAGGTGGTTGGAATGTCAAACTGAACCAGTTGTTTTGCTCACTGGGGTAGACTGTTCTAGTTCCACGTGCCATGTCTAATGGATGTCAGTTATCAGTTATCTCCTGTTAATTCACCTCTCCAAGTTCTCCACTGCCTTAACCAGGTATTGAACTCCCAACTCTTTGGGTCTTGTCACTGGATTTAACCAATGCATGTACCATGTGTCCTTAAGGATACATGGCACAGTTTTTAGAGTAATATTTTTTTCTTTAATTTTTTTATTACGCAAACACAGTTTAATCATCTTGAGGCTTTAATATTCATGTTTTTATTATAGCAGCCATTACACCCTGTTGGGACAGATGTGTTGTGTGGGGGTATTTGTATGTTTTTCTTGTACATGTTGGTGGTCACCATAATTTTGTGGTGTATTCACTCACACCATAGTGGTAGTGTAATTTTAGGCAAAGATAAAAACTGGAAAAATAAACGCACACAGTACAGAAAAAGCATAGTGTATTGTATGCTAATTTTTATACAATTTTATTTATGTATTTGTGTGTGCATTTTACATTAGAATTGTGCTATTGTACATGTTATAAAAGGAAACAAGTTACTCCATAATATCACAAGTCCTATCAAAGAGGGAAATTATGCATGTTTGGTCATCCTAATTGTTCTTGGGCGAAGAGATTGAATCTCATGTCTTTTGTTGGTATGTTTGTATTTCCAGCAGGAACAGTTTTTGTTGCATGCTGAGAGTAATTTTTTTATTATTATTATATTTTTTTTATTTATTCTAAACAAGGTTTAAACATTATTGTTTTATTTTATTTATAATTTTCATTATTATTACTTTATTTATTTGTAACAATAATAATATCCCTACAGTTGAAAACCCTATTAGCAGCAGCTACCTTTTCCAGCATTATGGGCAAACATATAAAAAAAAAATAAACCTGGAGCATGCATTGTGTGAATTTTCAAGAAATTAGCCCTTTACTAGACAGCATTTCAAACAATACAGGACATGGATCTCTGCAATTCCAGAACACTATGAATATCCTAAACTGTATGTTATGAATAATCAAGAGTGGTCTCCCCTTTTTTCATTACTCTACTCTTTGAGAGAGCTATTTCTGTTTACTGGGACTATAAAAGACACTATACACAAACCTTGTATTCTCAGTTGAATAAAGCTTTCTTAAAGCCTAGACCTGCATACTTTTGTCATTACACAGTAAACTTTCTCTTTCACTCAACAACAAAATTCAATCACATTTTCTTCCTTTCTGCAGAGACTATCATAAAAACTTTCCTTAATTTTACACACTCTTTCAGGAATTATCGTTGAACATTTTTCATACTAAAAGTTCCTGATAGAATAAAAATTTCTATTCCATTTTGTTTATTCTTTTCTCTGCCTGTTTCTTCTCACCAACTCAACACAAGTAAAATTTTGTTCACTCTTGACATCAAAGGCTACTAAAAACAACAAACTCCAGACACCTTCTAATCAAGCAGTAGAAGTAGGACTCGAGTAAGTATCTGACTCCTCCCACAATGCTCTATTTTTACAAGGGCCAGATCAGGCTGAAAAGTAATCAGTAGATTAAATAAAAGGTCCAGTTTAAAATTTCTGCAAGCACCTGATAAAGGCCAGATGGTACAAAAATTGAAAAATTCTGATAATAACAATGAAAATGAGGACAATGGTAATATTAACTGTTTCCTTTCACTGACTGGTTAAAATTTATAAAATCTTTCTCTTAAAACAATCTCACATTTTCTTTCATTTTACAGAGACTATCATAAGAACATTCCTTGAATTTACACACTCTTTCAGGAATTACAAAAAGTTCCTGATAGAATAAAATTTTTTAATCTCATTTTGTTTGTTCTTTTGTTCGTCTATTTCTTCTAACTAACTTGGCACAAATAAAGCCTTTTTCATCAGTAAACACATTCTTAACTCCAAAGAACACTATCCTGTCCTGGGTAAGATGATAAACTACATCCAACAACAAGGCCTCTGATCAGGACGTTTTGAGGAGCATAGAACCATTTCTTAATTGCTGATATTCCCAAGTCCACCTTGAACCCAGGGTGATAGTACCTATTAGGGTCCCAGCTATGAGCAAATAGTTGACCCTCAAACTGGGTTCAAAATACTATAAGAGTGTAAAAATAGGTTTTAATACTAGCAATACATTGAATTTTTGAAGAAAAAAAATATTACCAGTGTTAGGGGAGACAACTCTCCCCTAACGAATCATTGACTCTTCACACAAAAAAGGGTAGCATCAGACAACAGCTTGGCTGCTGGAAAATACACCACCAGTAAACAGTGAATTGTTTATCCAATTCAATCCTACTGTATCCTGGTTGGTGAGAATAAAAACGAATATTGTTGTGTTTTAAAATATATCTGAGTTTTGTTATATTTTGTTGTTCCTAATATTTTGGGTTACAACAACTAACAATACATTTTTGGAAAAAAAAAAATATTAGCAACAATAAAAATCTTGTTGACATTAAATAACCCATTGAGGTTGATATGCTGTAAAACAAACCAAACTTAATCTAAGCAAACAACACAGCTATATTCACTTTTTAACATACTTTCTTGTGTATAATACGAGACACTTTAAATGAAAATTAAAGGTAAAAGAGTGGGGGGGGCGTATTATACACAAGTACAAGTTTTCAGAAATTTTTACTCAGCTTAAAAAACATCTTATTTGAAACAGAAAGATTGCAAATACACTTGGTTGGCACAATAGATAATAAAACACAAAGAACAGAAAATATGAAACAAATTTGTGAGCTCTTTCGTGAGAACCATTGCCGAATGAGACATCTCATC